CCCCACAATTTTGTTGATCTGTTAATTAATGGCTCGATCTCAAAAGGAATCATCTAGAAAAATGGAAATTCTATCAACCCACTTCTAGCATTAGGTCGTGTGGCTGTCAAATACATTAAGCTCCCTACCAGTTGCTTGTATAGAGTGCCATCCACTTCTTTTCCTCCCCCTTCCTTTGTGAGAGTAGTTCCTGGAACAATGGGGTTCATGACAAGATTGCAATTCCACATTCCAAATCTTTCCGGCACCTCCTTAGCATATTTTCTTTGGCAGAGATGGATTCCTTTAAAGCTTTGATGTACCTCTACGCCAAGGAAGAATTTCATCATGCTTGGATCGGTCATCTCGAACTCCCGCTTCATTGAACTTTTAAACCCTTCACATAGCACAACATCGTTTCCGGTATAGATTAGGTCATCAACATAAAGACTTACCATGATAAGCTTTTCTCCAACCTTTTTGGTGAATAATGTGTGATCATAGCTGTTTTTTTGTAAATCCTTCTCGTGTAAAATAACCTTCAATCCGACTGAACCAGGGCTAGGAGCCTGTTTCAACCCGTATAAAGCCTTTTTGAGCCCATAAACTTTGCTCTCCTCACCTTTCTTGGTAAAACCTTGTGGCTAGTCCATGTACACAACTTCTTTTAGTTCTCCGTATAAGAAAGCACTTTTTACGTCTAATTGGTAAACTTTCCAACCTCTTTGTGCAGCTACAGCCAGAAGGGTTCGAATGGTATCACTACTAGAAAACTGGCCATTTTCAGTGCCATTTCCGGTAGACGGAATCCGCCGGTAATTTACCGGTGGACACCAAAAAAGTCAACATTTTGTTGACTCCCATCTATTTCCAGCGGATTTCATAAGTACGTACTTTAATCTTGAATTTACATCTAATTACAACATTTTACCAACGGATTTCCGGCGGATAATTAAATATTTTCTTAAAAAAAGAATTAACAATTTCCGGCGGACAATTAAATATTTTCTTAAATTTTTTTAACCATTTCCGGCTGATTTCCGACGGATAATTAAATATTTAAAAAAAAATTAACGATTTCCGGAGGACAATTTAATATTTTTTAAATTTTTTTAACCAATTTCTGGCGGATTTCCGACAGATTTCCCGCGGATAATTAAATATTTTCTTAAAAAAAAGAATTAACAATTTCCGGCGGATAATTAAATATTTTCTTTAAAAAAAAGAAATAACAATTTCCGGCGGATAATTAAATATATTTTTTTTAAAATGGGAAAATTGCACCAAAATGGAACCAACTTTCACCTGATTCCTATTTTGGAGAACCAACTTTCAAAATCGTCATTTTGGAGAACCAACTTGGACTTGATTCCTATTTTGGGGAACCAACTTTCAAAATCGTTATTTTGGGGAACCAACTTGCATCTGATTCCTATTTTGGGAAACCAACTTGCAAAATATTTATAGAAAAATAACTAAAATTCATTTCTTTTCAAAAAATTAATGCAATAAAATCTATTTTTCATTTCAAATCTCGTTTTTTTAAAATTCAGATATCAAATTGAAGATTTTTCGAAAAAAATCCAAATTACCACGATAAAAATTGTTTTTTTACTAATGCAATAAAAAATCAATTTAATAGAAAAAAATTAATTGATGCAATAAAAAATAAATATTAAATATCACATTCAAGATTTTTATATCTAACCAATCTGTGTTAATATTAAAGTTTAAATCAAATTTGGTAAATCCAACCAAAAGTTTGATAGAGACCCTTAAATTATCTGTTACCTGTTCAACAGATCAATCAGACCCTTAAATAAATAAAAAGTTCGATAGAGACCCCTAAATGATGATTTTAAAAGTTGGTTCCCCAAAATAGGAATCAGATGAAAGTTGGTTCCATTTTGGTGTAATTTTTCCATTTTTCTATAATTATTTTGCAAGTTGGTTCCCCAAAATAGGAATTAGGTGCAAGTTGGTTCCCCAAAATGACGATTTTGAAAGTTGGTTCCCCAAAATAGGAATCAGGTCCAAGTTGGTTCCCCAAAATGACGATTTTGAAAGTTGGTTCCCCAAAATAGAAATCAAATGAAAGTTGGTTCCCCAAAATAGAAATCAAATGAAAGTTGGTTCCCCAAAATGACGATTTTGAAAGTTCGTTCCCCAAAATAGGAATCAGGTGAAAGTTGGTTCCCCAAAATGACGATTTTGAAAGTTCGTTCCCCAAAATAGGAATCATGTGAAAGTTGGTTCCATTTTGGTGCAATTTTCCCTAAAAAAATTAACTATTTCCGGCGGAATAATTTTTTTTCTCATTTTCAAACTTTTCTTTAAATAATGGGTCGTATTGGACTTTAACGGATGTTAATGGGCTTTAACGGTTCTATTGGGCTTTAATGGGTGTTATTTGGGTTTTAATATATCGTATTGTCTGCCGGATTTCCGGCGGATTTGTCCGCCGGAAAAGAGGTCCTGTTTGTTAGTGTATCCCACCGAGCTACCGAGACAAAAACCTCGTCATAGTCTATTCCTTCCTTTTGAGCATACCCTTTTCCAACTAGCCTTGCCTTGTGTTTATCAACCTCCCCATCTTCATGCAACTTAGGCCCTGTTTGTTTTTCAAAAAAAAAACACTTAATTGCCTCTTATGTCTGAATCGGTCAGACATTGAGGCATTAAGTGCGTTTGTTTTTTTTTTTTTAAATTAAGTGCTTAATTTATCTGAATAGGTCTGATTCATTTAGAGGCAATCCAAAGTCTGAAAACCTCTTATTTCTCCTCGCCTTCGCCGTACTGCTCTCGCTCCCTCTCCATCGCCAACAGGATTGCTCTCGATCTCTCTCTCTCAATCGCCTTGCGTCGCCTACCCGATCTCTCTCAAGCTCTCCATCGCTGCGCATCGCCTATCTCTCGATCCTTGCGTCGCCTACCATCTTCTACCTCTCGATCTCTCGATTTAAGGTATCCATCTCGATCTCTCAAGCTCTCGATTTTGTTTCTCCTTGCTTGGTTCATTTTTGTTTCTCCTTGCTTGGTTCATTTTTGTTTCTCCTTGCTTGGTTCATCTCGAAGTAGTTTTTCTATCAAATAAGCATCGATTAAAACCCTATTGATTAATTAGGGCTAATGTGTTTGGTATGCTTTGGCCTATGCTATTGATCATATGCTATACCTTCGCTATCGTGATTAGGGTTTCTTTTCTGGCTGATTGATCATATGCTATACCTTGATTCCCATTACAGTGATTTGCAATGATCTAGGAATTGACTTGCTGTTTGATTTAGGATGTTGATTTTCTGACAGTAGTTTTAAAACCAATGTTCAAACAATTATTTGGACTTATTATCATTCTGTTGAGGATTAAGCTTCTGCAATCATCTGGAGATTGGATCTAAAAAGATGGTCTTTTTATGTATTTTCATAAAACATTGATCTCTTATGTGCAAACTTTGATGGAAAACATGTATTTAAACAACACCCATTTGATATCTATGCCAATGTTATTTCAGTCCTGCTTTATGTTAATGCTTATGGACATACAAGTTTTAAGTTGTATCTAATATCTATGCCAATGTTATTTCAGCCACGATACACGCATATTTCAGACTACAAAAGCCTCTGCGTGAACTTTGTTGAGCTGAAGGAACAGCTAAAATCTGSGTTGCACCTAAAGCCTTATGAGGTACATTTTTTGCTTGGCTTTCAATTTGTTTGCAGTTACAAGTTGGTGTGTTTGTTGGCACCTTCTTGATTTCTATCCGTAATCAGTTCTAGATATGTTTTATTATATCTTGGTGTGTTTGAGTCGGGATGGAAATGAAGTTTTTTCCCCGATAAGAATTATGGTTGTTCGGCCTTTGGAGATTGATCCATCAATTTCAGGTTCAGCATCGCCTCCAACTGCGGATCGGAGCACAAGGAAAGTATCTTCAATCAATCTTGGAAAAAGCTTGTAAAGCTCTAAACGATCAGACAATCACGACTGCTGGACTAGAGGCAGCTATGGAAGAGTTGTCCGAGCTCGCAATCAAGGTAGCCAACGACTGCCGGCTATCTGTCACTCCAACCCCTTCACTCACCCAGATTGCAACCCATATTGAAAACGAGCACCCTCCTAATTCGTGGCACGACTTATGGACCACTCAATCGATAGTTGCTTGACGTCCACCGCCCCGCCAGTCGGGCTGAGTTCTGAGGCTGCTGCTTTGAAGAAGAGACAAAGGGCCATGTTCACACAAGCTGAATGGATGGCGGCAAACATCGGATAACTAGTTTTCGTGTTTTTGTGTAGACATTTTCTTGGATGTTAGGGGATATAACTAGTTTTCTTGTTTTTGTGTAGACGTTTTCTTATTTTCCAGCGGATGTTAGGGAAAAGAAAAGGATGGATTATGTGGAATTAGGGATTATTTTCAATCGATTTGTATTTCGGATATCATCTGTGTTTATATTAGTCTCGTAACTGTTGGAATCAGCCTACAACACGTGTCGTGGATCTGAGCCTACAACACGCATCGTAATATTTTCAGATTCAGATTTCAGATGGAAAAACAAACAGTCTGACTGATTCAGATTTCAGACTTCAGCACCACCTCTTAAAATTCAGAAGTGAATTTAGACTTCAGACTTCAGCACCTCTTAAAAAACAAACGCCACCTTAGTCTTAAAGACCCATTTAACTCTTATTGTTTTTGCACCAGCTGGTAGAACTACAAGTTCCCAAGTGCTATTTTTTTCAATGGCTAATAATTCATTTTTCATTGCTTGCACCCGTTTATCTTCTTTAACAGCTTCTTCAAAGCTAGTAGGGTCCCCATGAGAACTAAACATTGCCATACCAGCTTCTTCATCTGAAAACTCTCCGCCACTTTCGTAGTCACGCATCCAAGTCGGTTTTGATTTCGATTTCTCCTTGCTACATCTGGTGATTCTATTTCTGATGGATTTTCATCAGAATTTGTTCGATCTGCTGGTGTTTCTTCTGCTGTAATCTCTTCATTATCAGCCCCTCCATCATGTTATTCGTCTATGGCTTCTTCATCATTTCCTTCATACGTTGTTGTTCCGTTATCTTCCCAAACTATATTTTCAGATCTGGATTCTGCATCTTTCCCATTCCAATTCCATTTTGCTTCTTCTTCAAATATGACATCCCGACTAATGATTATCTTCTTTAGGATTGGATCATATAGTCGATATGCCTTTGATTCGGTGTTGACTCCAAGTAAGACACACTTGTGACTTCTATCATCGAGTTTTTTTTCTGTATTGTTCAGGTACATGTACATGCCCAATGCATCCGAACACCCTGAAACAATTAACATTGGGTTTCACCCCACTCCAACACTCTTTCTGGCACCATATTATTTATAGCATGTGTAAAGCTCCGGTTGAGTACATGGCACGTCCACTTAGTTGCTTCAGGAAAGAAATACTTTGGCATTCCCTTTTCTATGAGCAAGTATCGAACCATATTCATCATGGTACGATTTCTTTTTTCTGCCATCCCGTTCTGTTGTGGGTAAGCAGCCGTCAACTGCCTCTTAATCCCATTTGTTTCGCAAAAGTGATTGAATGCACTTGAAGTGAACTCTCCTCCCCTGTCTGTTCTTAAACAACAAATGTAATTTCTTGCTTCTTTCTCAACAAGGTTTTTGAAAGTTCTAAACATATCAAAAACCTCATTTTTTTCAGAAAGAAGATATATTGAAGTCTTACAAGAAAATTCATCTACAAAAACTAATATGTACCTCTTGTCGCTTTGAGAAGTAGGGGATATGGGACCACATGAATCAACGTGAATCAACTCGAGTTTCTTTGTAGCTCTCCATTGACTTTTTCTCGGTATGATCTCTCGATGTTGCTTACTGATGTTGCACACTTGACAAACCTTCGTTTGCCCTTGCAATCTAGGTAACCCTCTCACCATTTGTTTGCATTGCATGGTCCTAATGAATTTGTGGTTCAGGTTCCCGTAACGCTTGTGCCAAAGGTTTGTTGTGTCCCGTTCGTCAACCTTTAAACATCTATCCAAGAGAGGCTTCATAACAGCCGACACTGCAAACATTCGGTTCATCATTATCCTTGAGTTTAGAATCAACCCTCTTCGAGGATGGTAGATTATGCATGCACCATCTTCAATTACAAAAGCTACACCCTTTTCTTGTAGCTGTCCAATGCTTAACAAATTGTTGGTTAACTCAGGAACAAAAAATACATATGTTATTGTTTAGGTTATACCCTCAACCTCAAACTTGATGTTTCCCTTTCCCATAACAGCTAACCTGGAACTATCGCCCAATTTTACTATGTGTTTGAAACCTTCATCAATGTCAACAAACCAGTCTTTGTTGTCTGTCATATGGTTCGAACAACCAGAGTCAAGAAACCATATTTCCTTGTTACCGTTCCCGTCAATTTCTGCATGGGCCATTAAAAGCAATTCTTCACTTTCATCAAACTCGACGTAGTTTGCACCCCTTTCAAGATTGGGACACTCATATTGAAAATGTCCTAACTTATGACACCAGTAGCATTCGATGGTCGATCTAAACTGGTCGTGTTCTTCCTCTTCCTCTTCCCCTTGAACTGCTACTGCCACCTCCTCTTGCAAAGCTGCCACTTCCTCTACTATGTCCCAAGTTGGGTTTATACTCAACTTTTAATACTTGTTCGTCGCCACTCTTACGTCATACTTTCTGCTCATGCACCAATAAAGAACTTTGTAACTCATCGATCGTTAATTGATCAATGTCCTTGGACTCTTCAAATGAACGAAGAACAAAGTTGAAATTCTCTGTTAATGTTCGAAGTATTTTTTCAACGATCTTAACATCGTTCATGTCCTCTCCACAGTTTCTCATATCATTTGTTGTGACCATTACTCTTCCAAAATATTCGGTCACCGACTCTCCCATCTTCATCTCCAAGGTTTGGAATTCCCTTCGAAGCCTCTGCAGCTGAGCCCGCTTCACCCTTGCGTTTCCTTGGTACTTCACTTTCATCGAATCATAGTTGTTTTGCAGTCTCCTTCTGAGTAATAGTCTTCAATATGGATTTGGCAATGGCCTGGAATAGATAGTTCCTTGCTTTAAGATCTTTAAGTTTTGCTTCATCCAATGCTTTTTGTTGTGCTGCTGGTAGTTGTACTCCAACTGTGGATTCCTTGTAGCCCACTTCAATCACACACCAATATTCTTTTGAGCGAAGCAAATTCTCCATTAACAAGCTCCAATGATCGTAGTCCCCATCAAAGATAGGCACACATGGGGCTTGAAAATCTTTTGACTCAGCCTCCATCTCTCACACACACACTCGTGTTTCACTTCTTGAACTCTCACTTGTTTTAGTTACTCACTTATGGGCCTCTTGTATTGGCTCTGATACCACTTGACAGAACAGAGATAATTCAAGAGATAGAACAGAAGTAATTTTGCTAGGAACTCCCAAAACGTAGTGATCGATAAAATTCTAAAAGAAAGCACGGCTTTAAATAGCCTACACAGGAAACAGAATGCTGAAAAATAGGAACAAAAACAGGGCACGGATTCTACCCGACTAAGAACAATTCAAACAAAAAACTACTGCAATTGACTAGGTTTTAGAACCTATTATTAAGCAAAGACTAATTCTCTGATGACTACTTCCAATCAAAAATCACGGTTTTCTGAGGTGTATGTGCCAACAGATACTCGACGGACGGAGCAATACATTTAGGGCCTGAAAGCCTCAATTAGAGAGTTGGTCACGACAATGAACGACTACAAGAAAATTGAGTTTATAGGACACCCCCAATCTCTAAGCATCCCAATAGATCGTTTTATAGGACTTAATTTATAGGATCAAAATATAAAACGTCCTATCTAAAGGTGTTGTAATAAGTTTATATGACGCTTTTGGTCGTCTTAACAGTTTTTTAGAATAATTTTAATATAAAGTGTCGCATTAGCAACTTTATAGGACACTTTTGAGAAAGTGTCTTATAAACTCAATTTTTTATAGGACATTTGTTTTTATATGACAGTTTTTCAATTAGTGTCCTATAAAGTTGATAATGAGACACTTTATATTAAAAATGTCCTAAAAACTTATTACGACGTAAAAAACCGTTATATAAACTTATTACAACACCTTTTTAGATAGGACACTTTATTTTTTTGATCCTATAAACTAAGTGCTATAAAGAGATCTATTAGGACACTTAGAATTTGGGAGTGTCCTATAAACCCGATTTTGTTGTAGTGAACCCCATGATTTTCTAATCAACGATTGATGCATCAAAGATTATAGAAAAGGAGAAGAACCGACAATTGGCTGATAGGGGTAATGACAAAAGAAAATAGGAAGGGGCGTCATTTGATTCAAAGAAGCCAAAGTTGGGGAGATTTGGCAATCGTCCAAGTCAAGACAGAGTGATAGACCATGCACTAAATGCATCTGGTTTCATAGAGGAGAATGTGGTTATGAGCTGAAGACTTGTTACAAATGTAGGAAGTCGGGTCACATTGCCAATTAGTGTAGACCAGCTACAGTTTTTTATATTTGCAATTCGCCATTGTTTCGAATATAACTGTCTACGGTTGAGAGGAAGAGAGATCGCTCATTATGGGGAAGTCGAGGTAGCAAGGGAGAAGTCAAGAAGATAGAAATACCTAAATCTAACTGTCCACGGTTGGATTTGCAAATCTGAGTGATCTTCGTGATGGGTTCCTTTAGAATAGTTTAGATGAGATAATATAAGTATAAGTTGCAACTTTCCTTTTTCTATGATTGGTAGTGAGAATTGTGGGTGTAATCCATTAACTTGGTGGTGGGATCAAAAAGATATGGAGCTGAAATTGTGACAGCAACCATTATTCATTCGGGGCTTAATTTGATTAAGGAATACGATAAGGTAAAGGCTACGATTAATGGGCTATATACATCTCTTGGTTGCAGCTACTGTTTCTTCGACGGGAAGGGGCAACTCTCATGAGTCATGTCCAGAATATCAAACCATATTATGGCAGCGGTGGTGTAGATTAAAAGTAGCAGTCGCATGCCACTATTGGGTGCGGCCCTGCTGTTTTACGAGTGGAATATACACCTCTGATTGTAACCGAGACTCCCTCATGCCGTTGTCTTGGGTAACTGTGTTACCAGTGCTAGTTAAAACCATTTTAGGGGCTGTTTAGAAACAGTTTTGGACATATTTTGAGAGCTGGAGGGAACCGGTCGGGACAATATCTAGGCTAAACTCTAGAGGTTAAAGTAGAATAGATACACCAATGTGGGGTACTTACGTTACTTTTTCTATCAATTTGTTCAGGTAGAGTAACCATTCCATTGCTCCAAGTTCACTCTAGCATAACACGGGTCTCATTTGAGTTTTCTTGGTAAATAAAATGCATCTTCTAAATGTGGTTTACATTCTTAACTTTTATTGATATATATCATATGCCTTTGGGTCAATTGGATGTCTATTTTGGGTTGATTATGACATGGTAGGAGCGATGTATGTGAGACTATAATGGTCCACATGAGGATGAGTAGGTTACCCATGAATTTGTTTCACGGGATTTCTCGTTCTTGATTGCAATCTTGACGGAATGACCATTCTTTTTAGCTCGTGATTTATGTGACTGCCATGGCTAGTTAACCAAAGGGGATGCGTTCTTGCAAGATACGTTCAGACGGTTATAATTGTGAACTTGGGTTATTTATTTATTCCCAGACCTTGCATTCTAACCATGTTTTCCTCAAATAAAATGTTCTCAGGGCATTCTTCGGTAGGGGTTTCAAGCAAAGACAAGGGTAAGTAGTCATCTTGAGCACGAAAGAGGATGATCGACCAAATACTTGAGATACTCGGGGTTACGTTAGTTTTTACGAGTTAAGACTTGAAATAATCCGTCTTATCGGTTTAACGAGGTTACTTTCTTCCGTAATTCGATTTTAGTTGAGGCCCAATTTATGCATTTTATTTGAACTTGATGGTATCTTTGGGCTCTAATGTGGTTATGGGTTGTAATCAGGCCCATTTTAACATTTCAATGGATCTTCAAATATTTAATTAAGGGAAAAGTCTAAAAAAATTCAATGAACTTTATATCAATCCTAATTGAATGTCAAAACAAACGAGATGTATCGAATCAATTCACTTATAAAACACAATTCGATTTAAAAATGATTAAGAATTCAGATCTATTATTAAGACAAGACATATTATTAGAAAGAAACACATTAAATTTGGAAAAGGGTGAAGAGATAAGCATTGACACTTATCAATTCATTAAAAAAATCGAAAATAGGTGAATCTCCAATCTCTATGTGTAGCTTAATGGCTAAGAAAACACTAAAACCAAAAAGAAAATGAATAATGAATTCGTTATTAATTAAAGTGGGTGCATGTCAGTAGTATTTTTTAAACGCTGGATGCCCGTCTCTATCTTGGTTCAAGGGTTGAATATCCACATCTATTCAATTATTATAAATTACTAGTTGTCTATTTATATCATAACTATAACCGATATAATTTTTTATAATAAATGGGTAAGTTTATTTTTTAAATAAAATAAAAAATATTAAATGTATTTTGTTAGTTAAAAAATTCTATAAAAATAAACAAAATATTATAAGATTTATTTCTTGGTACAGTTTGTTTAATTCATTTTTTTTATTATAATATTATATTTTATTTAAAATTTTATGACAAATTTCTTTCATAAAAGGATAACTAAGCAATTCTAATTACCTTACTCAAAACCATTACGTTTTCAAATTTAATTATACATATATAGAAAGAGAGATTTGAAATTATGTGAGATAAGGTTGTTTTCATGAGACATGTGAGACAATATTTTTACACTGTGAAGGTAACCTTTACAGTGTTTTTGTTGTGAAGGTTCAGCTTTTTTTTACTTTCACAACATTTTACTGTGAAATTTCAAGTGTAAAAAGATGGTCTCACGAAATCATACTGGTCTAGGGTTGGATTCACGTGAGATCAGTCTGTTTTCGTGAAACCCGTGATACTACTTTTTTACACTTGATGACTTGAAACTTCACAGCAAAATGTTGTAAAGGTAAAAAAAAACAGAATCTTTACAGCAAAAACACTGTAAAAGTTATCTTCACAGCATTTTGCTATGAAGTTTCAAGTGTAAAAAAATAGTCTCATAGGTCTCACAAAAACATGCTATAATGTCACGTAAACCCATAAATATATATATATATATATATTTATTTAATAATAAAAAATATTCTTTTTCAAGATAGAAAGGATGTGACGGTCAAGTTTAAATTAGGCCCACCAATCATATTTAACATATAAGCATCAAATACGATATAAGGTTTTTTAAAAAAAAGTAAGGGGCCGTTTATATCTGGTAAGTATTTATCGGGTAATTTTTTTATCTGATAAACATAATAAGAGTCAAAAATCTTACCTAGTAAAAACAATGACAAAGATGAAGAGTCTTACTTGGTAAGTGAGGGTACCAACTCTATTATTGCATACAATATCATTTTAATGTACTACAATCTTACCCGGTAAAAGTAATGACAAAGATGGAGAGTTTTACTCGATAAGTGAGGGTACCAACTCTTATCCGGGTAAGTGCTTACCAGGTAAATTGTTGCATACGATATCATTTTAATATACTACAATCTTACCCGGTAAAATAAATTATAGTATTGACCTCTAACGGTAAGTGCTTACTGAGTAAGCATTTAGATAAACGGCCTTTAAGACGAATTTTGCTAAGCTAAACCAATATGCAATTTTCAACCCAGACTCCTTGATTTTCCATGTTTAATTACTTGCCGCACGCAAGGAAAAAGTGCAATTAGCTAAACACTCGGTGCGTGGATATAAAATATAATAATATACTAAATAACTGAATCAAATGTCAAAAATAACAAAATGTTCATTCCTTGTATGTTTTTATATATAAAAAAAAACTTTTATCAGTCTCTTATGTTTAATTTATCAAGAGATAGGGTTATTTATATTGTTTGTTTTTAT